TCAAAATAAATGTCGACATCGCAAGTCACTATCAATACATCTCTAGTGTCCGCTCGATATCAAAACCTTTTTAATTTCTACCCACCCGCCACTTATAGCATTGAAAATAATCCAGTTGTTTTCATCACGAAAGCATTAAATTTGTACATGATGAGACAACTATTGAAACCGACTTGTTTGGTCTTCTTATCGATTTTTTCGATTTTCAAAAAAATAATATTTACACCTACTTTCATTTACATTATATTTTACGATAAAATATCAACACCCCATCTCTCTTTATTGCTTAAATATTTATAACAAATATGGACATTTTGGGTATCGCTAAAATTCTAAAAGCTCAATTTATTTATAAAAATAGAAGATTAATTATTAGATCTTTTAAACACCAAAGTCTATATTCATAACCCGATAACCATCATACGAGTCAAAGTATCTAATCAAATGATTACAGTATCTAATCAATCGATTACAGTATCATGGCGCTACTGTCTCAACTGAAAAGGAGAACATGTATCTGTATTTACCGATCAAATCATAAAATTGTATACGATCGTTTTTGTCGGCTCTCACTAACATTCAGTGGACGATTATGCATACATACAAACGATGATAATGACGTACATGGTATCGAGAATACGTCTTCTCTGAAATTTAAATACATGTGATTTATGGATACATATATGGTTGGGTGGTTGAATTTTTAAAACACCACATGGTAATTTATTAATAAATATGTGATATAGTTTTCAAGTTTCTATAGGCTCATGAAAACAACAAGATTCTCAATGTGCAGAAAACCAGAAGAAAAACACATGCCAAGGTTTGTAGTTATATCATAAAATCTGTGTTCAAATTAATAATCATACAACAATTTTGTATTCAGAAATTAGTTTTCAAAATTTAATAATCGATGCCCGTCCTACTCTTCTTCCGAATACTGTTATTACCAGAATTGACGTCGCTCCGACGACCCTCACCTTGTCGTTACCTCTGCATTGTCATTACACTGTTGTTTTGGCATTTGAAATAGGTTATGGATGAATAAAGCAGTGAGTCAAAGCCTTGTTGGTGTTCGTCAATTAGTAGAAAATTTACCCAACGCTGTTGTGTACCTATGCTTTGATAACCTATCCAATAATGGTTATTTAATTAAAAAATAAGAAAAAGTAAAAAGGTTAAAAGGACCAAATTATCCCTAACTTAACAAACCCTTCTTAATTATGTTAGTTTGAAGGACGGAAAAAAAAGCAAAATGGAAACCACAAGAATGAAAAAAGCAAATTTTAAAGATCAGGGACGAAAATAGTTATAAATGACAAACCACATGAACAAAAATCTTAGTTTACTCTTGATTTATAATTCGATTTTAGTATTTGATCATTGATTAAATACTAAAACTAAGTTTAAATGATATAAAATTAAAAATAGAACTTCTAAACTACAATCAATTTTTCCATCTTTTACAACGGGAGACCTTTTTTTTTAGAACTATTTAAATCATGAGATTTTTGAAAACCAGTGTATTATGTGTTATTTCATATAAATTTTCAATTATGGCTAGAATTTAATGTAGTGATTCAGATATATTTGTTTCACGGTTTATTTATTTCATATTTTGAACCAAATATATATATAACAAACATATTGTAATACAAATATATGTTAATTAATACATTAAATACGATATTTATTTAAATAAAAATTATATAAAACAAAACCTCAAGGTAGAAGTTCTCATGAATGTCACAAATTTTAAAATTCTCAAATAATTAAGCCCTATGAAAAATATACATAGGGTTAATCATTTGCAAACAATCTCTATGTTACAAACCTTACAAACTTATCTAGGATGTTTTTTTTGTTTTTTTTATCAATGGTTGGGAAAAGAATTTGGATTTAAATTTATTAAAAATTTAAGGAAATGGTAGTTTTGGAATAGATTTTAAATATTTTAAATTTAAATTTTAATAAATAATTTGAATTATCTATTTTTTTTTTATCTCTCCACAATTTTCTCCATTATCTCTCTCACGACCTCTCTTAACTCAATTTCAAGAATCATAGATCCATAATTTCTATGAATGTTGTATACCAAGGAAGATAATGGTAAAAGACTGAAATTTTGTTGGAAGATCAAAAATCGGTCTTCGATTTCAAGGCTTTTATGGTGGAGAAGGTGAATCAAACACTTAATGACGTTGTTTTAGTCAAAGATCCACCAGCCATCCATCATCCATGAAACAATATTGTACTCGCCTATCGTCGAAGGGACGTGAGGGAGACCAATCCTGTGCGTTTGAATTCGTTGGAGGGGATGAGTGACATGAGTCCACCGCCATGCTAGCTGCTTGTGCGGTTGAGATGATATACACTATGTCTTTAATCCATGCCGACCTTTCCTATATGAACAACGACGACCTCTGTCATGGAAAACCCACTAAAAAGTGGGCATTGCCTCAACGAGAGAAAGACGACGAGGGTTGGACTAGCATGAGTTCATCCAAATAACACAAAACGGTGGCCCTGTTGGAGGCGGAGGCGAGAGCAAGACCCACGCAGTGGAATTGAGAGTTCGCTAGGTGTATACCAAGTCGTCCGTGGAGTTGGGGAAAGACGATATATCAGAAAGATGTTCACACATCCTCCATTGTTTTTGATTGGAAAGCATATATGAAGATTCGTGGTTCCAAAGAGTAACCGTGTGATCGCACATTCTTGTTTTCTAGGTTAAATTCTATTAATTATTTTTAAAATCTTCTGTAAATTTTTATATGATCATTTTGATTGTGTTGTTGATGATGAAGCACATATGATGATGGTTTCACATATGAAATGTTATTATGAATTGTTTAAAAAAAATTAATATATGGTTTCGTAAGTGAAATAATACTGGTATGAAGTGAGGTAACAAAATCTATCATTGTTTCATATGTGAAACCAAAATAATTGGTTTGTTTCATATGGGAAACCAAAACAATTGACTTGGTTTCATATGAAAACCAAAATGGTTACTATGAAGTTGGTTTGAGAAAAGGTGATGAAATCTATTATGACAATTAAAAATGAGATTTTTAAGGAAGAGAATATTTTTAAGATAAATCTTTTAAATATGATATTTTATGAGATATTTAAGGAAGTTAGTTATTCCTAAAAGTACAAATTTTGTAAAAAGACAGAAATACCTGGTTTTTATTGTTAACCTTCATATGGTTTACAAAAGATGAAGCCTCTCTCTCTCTCTCTCTATATATATATATATATATATAGAGAGAGAGAGAGAGAGGTAGGCTTTATTTGAGAAACCTTTGTGATATACTTGAGAGCTGGTACATCATCTGCTATTTCAATCAGTCTGTTTTCATGAGAGCCGTAAGACCACCTTTGTACAATTGAACATTCATGGTGTTTTTGCTGTGAAGGTTCAAATATTTTATCTTTACAATTTTTTGTTATGAAGTTTCAAGTGTAAAAAATTTGGTCTCACAGGTCTCATGAAAACATGTTGGTTAATGTGAACCCAACCCTGTTTCACAATGTGAACAATTTTTTATGTGTTTGTGAAATAAAAAGTACAACTAAAAAGTTTCATTGTGAACCAAATACATACGAAATTAATACATTGTGAAAACAAATATATGTTAATCAATATATTAAATTCTAGCATTTGAAGAAGAAAAAAAATCATGTTAAACAATGCAATATGATAAAGTTTTCACGATTATCATAATTTTTTAGATTCTTAAATGATTAAATCACTATGTAATATGAATATATCATACAAGTTGTCATTCTAACAAACTCATTATTGAATTACTTAAAATACTTTATTGACAATAAGAAAACAAATTAGGACAATATGTACTAAACATAATTTCTAAAATCATGATTATCTAAAATATACAACAAATCTTAATTCATTTCAAAATTTTGTTACGTGCATAAACAACAGTCCAAACCAAACCGGTTATTGGTTCAGTCCTCATGGTCCGAAGTCCGAACCCAATGTTAACAAATTTAGAGATGCATAAAGAACCAATCTTTTAGACAGTCTTTGTGAGATTTTTAAGTATATAACCTTAAATGAGATTTAAATTAAATCCATAACTTTTTCAAGAATATAGACCCATTTTTCTTATATAAGCCAGAAGATGATAAATTCATTTAAGGTTATTTACGTAAATGACATGTCTTTTTTCCGCTTAACTTTTCTTTTTGGGGTCATAATTCGGTCGTTGAACTTTCAATTTTATCTTAATGTAGCAACTAATTAAAGTTAAAAGACCATACTATCCCTCTTTGACATATACATATACATATACATATACATATACATATACATATACATATACATATACATATACATATACATATACATATACATGAAATTGAGTAGAGAAAAGCGAGTGTATCAAAGTTTGAGCTTCAAAGGACTGTACCTCTGGCAATGTTACAAGGGACAAGTGCAGGAAAGAAAAGTTGGAGTGTCAGCTGGAAATGGCATAGAAAAAAGTGGGATTTGTTTTGTTGGGAATAAAAAATGATTTTTTTATTTAGAAAAAAGCCCAAATTTAGATCCTTTTCATGTGATTAAATTAATTATTTAATATATGTAAAAGTGGAACAACTTTTTGAGACTCAACTGATTCTGATTTCTGGGCATCTTTTACTTTCTGTTTTGGCCCTTTCCCTTTCATCTTTTTCATCTCCCTCCTTCTGTCTTCATCCTTCAAGACAACATCAATCTCTATCTTAATTTCATCAAAAATACAAAACCCTTTTTCTTTCAGTCTTCTTCTTCAATACTACTTGTATTAATTCTAACACCCATAAACATATGCCAAGTATACAGCTTTAATTTAAAATAGGGTTTTCGCCACCCCTTGCACTGCACTGGTCCCACAGTCATCATGGGTGAATACAGGCGTCTATGCATAACCGGTCATACAGACAGTTGAGCTTGAGCGATTGGTTTTATGAGCCGACTGAGTGGTCGCCTTGGTGAAGTAATATGCATTCAGAATCATGCTTGCAACAACAAAGACCACTCCTGTAATGAAAACACCTTTCCTTAATGTTTCACAAAAGAAAAGCTTTTTCGTCATACCCTTTGTATTTCGTATGGTAAGCATTCTTCTTTGCCCCTGCAATTAGACAAGCTTCTGCTACCAAAAAAACTCGACCTACAGAAAAATCCAGCATTATGAATTAGTTTTTCATAATAATTGTTTGGGTCCTCTTGACATCTTGTAGATATATCGGGTGGGAGATATTAATCCAGTGCAAGAGCAATAATATGGATAAACCAAACCAATATGTCTCACCCGAAGGTAGGGTAGGGGGTAAGATATACACAGACCTTACATCTATCCCACAAGACAGAGAGGTTGTTTCCAAGAAGAACCCTAGCTTGCAAGAGCAATGATATGGATGACGAGCTAGAAGACAAATCAAATACAAACCATGGAAATGTTACAAACCATACAAACCAATCTCAACCGTCCATCTAGTCTAATGGATATCTGGTTTCATAAATATGTCCATTGTTTTTTAATATAAAGTGTTGATCATAACTAATGAATTCTAATCATCTTCCATAAATATTCAAATTATAATAAATGAACCTTCATCATTTCCATAAATATCTTAATTGATTGGTTTGTATGGTTTGTAACCTTTACATGATTTGTATTAGATTTGTAGCTATATTAACAAGTACAACTTTATATACCATTATGTTGAAAATGGAACACTTTTATGTAAAATAAGCAAGTTTGAACGACAAAGCTGATATTGATTTTAGAAGTTTATAATAAGATGAAATTGGCATCTACATACAATATATAAATGTGATGATTATAGAAAAGTTTTTATTGTTACAGAATTGAAAAGAATTCCCTATCATGTTTACATTTCAAAGGCATCATTGTGCCAAGTTTGATGTCAAAGGTATCCTGAATTGGAAAAAGTATAAGATTTGAAATCAAATTTGGATGCACCGGAGAAGCCTGCTAGAATTCAAGGTTGAATGAATGTGATTCAAATCAAGAAAGGTTTACAAAAAGTTAAATGAAATCTTACCATGATGATGTAAAATAGATGATGGTCCAAGCACGATTTCCGCCAGGTGCTAAAGGCCTTCCAAGACACATGCACTTAGTCACTCCCATAAGCAATGATTCACCTGACAAGAGAAACAAAAAAGCCCCAACACCATATCCAGTTGCAACATCGGATCTATAAACACAATATGTTGAATTTGTAACCTTGTGTCTGTGAATGGTTCCCTATCATGGAAAAAGGCACATCTTAAATGAAGCAAAAAAGACAAGCTTGTTTTAATGATTAAATTATTACAATCCAGCACAAGCTCCCCATCGGAGTAGTGATAACTGAGAGCAGTCATAAGATCATAGAAGTACAGCTAACCATTGGTTTTAATGGTTTTAGCATTTTGGAGTTCTGATGTTGGCACTTTCAAGTTTCAAATTTTTCCCCACTTCTTATCCTTATCAATCTAGAAATTCCCTTAGTTATGAATTACTTTTTGTCAGTGTGTGTAATTTCACATCCTTCACACCGTAGAAGTCCTGACCCTAGATTGTATTATGCTATAGATGAATGATCTTAGAAACCAAATAATATTTTAACAGAAGTCTCTAACCAAGTCTCATGTTTAATTCTGAACCATAGATGCAATCAATTAATCAACAGAATATATGCTAAGAACAGGCAATCACCAACAAAAAGTGGTCTACTCCTTTCATCTGAACTGTAACTAGTTTCAGCAAAGCAGGTCCAGATATTTACATTCAACTGTAACTAAGTTCACTAAGGGGCCATTTGCCTACCCTTATTGGGTAAGCGCTTACCGGGTGAAATTGTTTTGGTAAGCACTTATTGGGTGAAATTGTTTCGGTAAGCGCATACTGGCTAAGGTTCTTGGTCAGCAAAATGGTATGGTAAGATCGTTGATAAACACCATCATCTTTGACCGGGTAAGTGTCTCTTACCCGGTGAGAGGCAGTAAACGTTTAGTTATCCAGTAAAAGGCAGCAAGTGTTTAGTAAACAGGCCCTAAGTGCAACATGGGGAAAGAAACTGGACACTGATTCTTGCAAGTAGCACCCTTGGTTTATGCTAGTTGCTCAAAAAAGAAGAGTTTGAGGTCCAAATGAAAATCATGTTGACTTTGTAAGATCCTGGGAAAATTTTGTATATTAGAAAAATCTAAAGTTTGGAACTTCTACACAAACAAAGACAAATCTCAACCATCATCTGAAAAATATGATATCCTCTAATTCTAATAGTAACCACATGTGGAGACAGGAGGTTCACATGGGTGATTACGAATGTAACACTCATTATTCATAGGTATCCCATTAATTAGCTATCAGGAGAATTGATACAATACATACTCAAACAGAGAATCAGAAAATTGATGTCATTGAGTATGTGAGCTGAGGCATGATATTTATATGAGAGGAGATATTTGCTTATGACAGGAAGTACCCAGGGAGTTCAAAAGGCTTTAAAATGTCATCATGACTAGCATTATCTACTGAAACCATGGCAAAACATGTGCCGAATAAAGGTGGCTAGAAATAAGATTCTTAGATCAACTACATGAAGAGAATTTTGACTCATAGCTTTAACATCAACTTCATTCCCTCTCAATAAAAAAGACGTATCATTTCTGAAAACTCGTAAAGCAACGTCATCATCCGTCCCTTCCATCAACTTTAACATGTAATCAACCCTATCAATATGCAATGAATGTAGAAATGATTTACAATAACTGATAAAAAGAGCCAATAGCTTCAATAGGAGCAATCTTTAATTCTTATTGTTAGTTATTGAAGGTTTCTACATCTCCTCTAAAGATGGAAATAAAGAGGTCTCATTATGTAAGAGTCTGACAATATTTGAAATTATAATTTACCCTCCTACAACAGGCAACATCAAGAAAAAGTTGCCAGTAACCAAAAGAGAAGTTTCCATCCTATAAAACAAGCAACCAGTTTAAAGAGGTTGCATCTGTTACAAAGTTCAGTGGCCATTCATAGATATTTGTCGAACCTCACTACAGCGAAGGCTCAAGCCATTCATACTCACTTTTTTGTAGATAACAACAATAATAGAAGCATATTTGACTAGCATGACTGCAAATGAACTCCTGAGGGACAATTCCAACCCTTCTTTCCGCGTCTCTCTCCTCCCCGTCCTTTCCCCGACCACCCCTAATAAGCTCCTCTGGAGAACTAGGGATGGCCGTCTCACTCATTTCTTTGTTCATGAGGTTTGGCTCTCCCTCAATGAGCCTGATGTCTCCTGGCATCATTTAGTCTGGTTCTCTCAAAGCATCCCCAGACATGCCTTTATTCTGTGGGTCGCTCTCATGCCGCGTCTCAAGACGCACGATAAACTTCGGTTCTGGGAGGCCCATTCCGACCTGTCCTGTGCGTTCTGTCAGAACGGGTCTGATTCGCATTCGCATCTTTTCTTTGAGTGCCCGTTCCCTAATCTGGTCTGGAATGGTTTAAAAGCCAAGATGAACCTCAATGGTGTCCCGGATAACTGGGCTGATATTATTGGTATGTTCCAGCAAGTCAACAAAGGAAAGACAATATGGTCTATCATTCGTCGCTTAGTGCTTACTGGGACCGTCTACCACCTGCGGCAAGAAAGAAATAATCGCATCTTTAAAAGCAAAAGAAGATCGCATATTGCGGTGGGTAAGACAATTACTGATGATGTCCGATCCAGGCTCTTCAGCCTGGCCTTCAAGCCCTCCCCCAATGTTGACCGGGCTCGGCTTACCTGGAACCTTCCTTAGCTGTCTGGTCTTTTGTGCTGTCTGTCTGTTTGTGTGAGCTCCTCTGCTCCCTGGTTTTTCTTGGTGCGGTCTAGGGTATGCCTTTTTAGGCCCCTTCTCCTGCCCTTGTGGTGTTCCCTGTTGTTTTTCCCGGTCTTGGCTTGGCTGGGCCCTTCCCTTGTGGTCGGCTTCTTTCTCTTCCTCTCTCTCCCTCTTCCTCTCTCTCTTCTTCTCTTTCCCTTCTTTTTCCTCCCTCTTCTCCTCTTCTTCTTTCTCTCCTTTTCCCTCCTTTCTCGTCTTTCTTCTTCTTTGTCTCCCTTTTCTTTCCCCTCGGGGTGCCTTGGATTCTGGTAGTTGAGGTTTCCTCCTACCCGAGCGCTTCATTGCTGCTTTTTTAGCGTTTTAGTGTTTTATCTTGATCTGGAGGGGTCTCCCCCCTCCCTATCAAAAAATGAAGTTTCTAAGCAAATTAAAAATCATAAATTAATTTGTTCGCTTCAGGAAAGACATACATGACTTTCCTAGTTATATCTTTCATAAGATAGATATAAAGTAGAAAGCTTTCCCCAAAGAGAGGTTTAAAAGCTTCCAACTTCATGATAGAACAACCATGCAAAGGGATTTAGATAGGCTGCCACACTGAAAGGCATTGTATTCCGCCTCAAATGTCTGAATTTAACATTACCTTGAAGCATTTGATTCACTACTAAACCCAAGGAGTAGTTTAATATGCATAACTTGTTATGTCCCACGGATGGAGAATACAATAGATAAGCAATGGAAGCTAATTAGTTGCTTAGGAAATTGCCTATAGAGATTCCCTGTCATGCATTTCCTAGACTCTGTTAGACCTGCATATGATTCAACGGCACTCAAGGAGATGTTCCCTGCAACCGATACAAAAGTTGTATATTTTTAATAACAGATGCCTTTGTGCATTTTCAGTGAACAGAATATAACAACTTGAATGATAGGGCAATGCTAAGTGTTCCATGTCGTTAGATGGTCGGTTCAAAGGCAAGAAACTGTAAAGGCATCTAAAGGCGTTGAGAAACACATCAAGGAAATATGGATGATGCAGCTCTTACAAACAAATTTGGAAAGTTCAAAAAATGGGATGTCTTTGCTGATACTCTCGGTAGATAATCAACCACGGTGTGTAACTTTTGCAGCCAACTTATGAGAAGTGTGTCATTTTATTAATTAGGTATTTGTTAACTCACTTTTCTTGGGCTAAGAAATTTGCAAGGAACATGGGCTCTAAATAATTCATTGCTGTTACTTCTTTTGGTGTAAAATGTAATATTGACAGCACAAACAATCAAGAGGAGAACAAACGATAAACACGTCTACATGATCTACCACTAGGTTTAACATACCCACAACACTTCAGTGTATTTATAACAATAATGTTGTCACATTCCACCATGACATCCAATCAAGATTCTGTTATCATCAGTAATATAGAGGTGGTACCCTTGCAGCCAAAATACATCCACTAGCTTATAATCCAAATTTATGCATCGGTAAAATTTATTTTTATAGGGGTATTCACTATTTAGTAGCTTAATCTGCACCAAAACAAAGCTACAGATTATTTGCAAAGTAAAGAAGGTAAATGCTAAGGCTATCAACGAAAGAATGGAGTTATGCATATGTGCAGTTCCTAATAGATGAAAATATGACAAAAGTAAATATATAGATAAACCTCAAGGCAGTAGAAGTCCTCCTTAGAGAAAACTTACCCTACCGCCAAAAGGAAATGGCTCAAACAGGAATCTTCACAGGTAATGGGTTCAAAGAGAAACTTTGATTGTCCAGTAACTGACTTTTTACAAGGTATCTAAATATATGCTCTGCCAATTTACAAGTATAAAATTTTGATCATCTCCCTTCCTAAGTGCCATCTTTGGTATGTGCACAATGACTAAGAAACTAGATACGAGGTGCTAAAAGTAATACCATTAGAGGTGGGCCTAATGATATATACTCCTTTATGAAGGGGAAAGACCGACGATTAGGAAATTAGAATATATTTCAGGATAAAGCAAGGGGCACCATTTCTTGGTTATTGTAACTCGAATTAGCTTCTATCACAAACTGCACGAATTCCCCACAAGCACTACAAATGTATATAATGGTTTTCAGGTGTAGGGCCTTGGAATTCCAGTGCTTCAAAAGGCAGGATATTAGATGGGCCGGATAAACAGAGGAGCATACTTGAGGGAATCAAAATGCAAGTGTAGTTAGTGTTTACCGAATCGGATACAAATGCTAAACATTTATTTCCCATGAACTTATCAATTCAGAATCATTGAGATTACAAGAAACTTCAGTACCCAATAATTTCACTAAAATGAAGCTATACAACGTGTACAAGGGAAAGTCCTGATGTCTGACAGTTGCCTCCGATGTTATTTCTTTCAAAGTATAAGACCAGCTAAATATTTCCAGAGCAAAAACACGAGCTACATACACTCTTAAGCACCTCAATTTTGCACAACAAAAGAAGACAGAAAACACAAAATTCATTCTATTCAACACATAATTTCAGAGACATTGTCTATATTTTCACACCATCAGTAAACAGAATTGACGTGAAACATGAAATGCAAATAACAGAAGCAAAGCGAAATCAGCAAGCATCATATCAGTGATGTACAAAACCCTAAGTTGCAATGAGGTTGAAGATAGAGGGAGGAGAGATTATACAGTGGCGAAACCCAAAGCAAGTAAAGAGAAGATGAGAAGTAGTAGATGAACCAGAGCTGATCCCTTTCTTTCTCCAATCTCCTTCTTCTACCCCCCCGGGGTTCCTCTACAGATACTGTTTCTGAAGACCGACTGAGGGGAGGTTTTGCTGTTTATTCATTCCCTTTCTTTTTTTGTTTGTTGTGGTTTGGGATTGCTTATTTGGAACAACTTATAATTTTTTTTATAAAAATATTTATTAATTTATTAAAAGTTAGAAGAGTTTAATTTTTTAAAAACTATTTAAAACCGATTTGACATCGATATAAGTTATTTATCCAAATACTTAAAAGTGTTTATTACCGGTGTCATATCGAAATATGTCAATAAATTATTTTATAAGCAATCACATAAAACATGTAAAACGTGAAAATCAATCATATAATATACTATATTTTATTATTATTTTATTTTTTAATATATATATTTTTTATATTTATTTATAAAACTTGATTTAGATATTGAAGATATAAAACAAAGATTAAAACAATGTTATACGAGGAACCCATTATAATTTTGGGATAAAAATCAAATTACAGCCAAACTAGAGATGAAAGATAAAGAAAAAGAAATTATGGTCAGACCAATAAGATACAACCCTGAAAACCAAAAAGAATTCACGATACAGATTAAAGAATTATTAGATTTTAAATTAATTAGTTCTCCTGTATTTATGGTGAGAAAACATGCAGAAATGGCCAGAGAAAAATCTAGGATGGTGATAAACTATAAATAACTAAATGATAACACTATATTTGATAGATATTTTTCACCCCATAAAGAAAACTTAATAAACTAGACTACAAATAAAAAGAAATTTTCAAAATTTGACCGTAAAAAATGGATTTTGGCAAATAAAAATGCATTCTGATAATATATCATATACAACCTTTTCTACACCCCAAGGTCAATATGGTTTGTTATGTTGTTTGAATTAAAAAATGCCCCTCAAATATTTCAAAGAAAAATGGATAGTATTTTTAAAGATTGTGATTTTATTTTCATATGTTGATGACGTTTTAATATTATCTAATGATATAGAATTTCATTTAAAACATCTAGATACATTTATAAAACTATGTATTAAAAATGGATTGGCCTTATCTGATAAGAAAACAAGACTAATACATAATCAGATAAAATTTTACGGAATGAAAATCGATGGCATAGAACTTCAAAGTCACATCTTAGAAAAAATTAATTTATTTTCTAATAAATTAATAAATAAAAAACAAGTACAAAGCTTTTTAGGAATACTTAATTATGCGTCTGATTTTAGTAAAAATTTGACCGTATTAAGAAAACATTTCCAAGATTTACTTAAGAAAAATAAAATCTTTAATTTTGATAAAGGTTTAGAGAACCAAGTAATATAATTATTTATATGTTATTTTTTAAGTTATATTATATATGTAATTTTTTATATATTATTGTTTTAAGGTAGATTATATAACTATTATATATATATACTAGAAGAGTAATCGTGCAATGCAGCGAGATACATCGTGTTTTTAATATTTCATTTTATTCTTTATCTCAGTCGATGTTATAATATGACTTTATGTGATTTTGAGAAAGCGATGATGTTTTTATTTTTGAATAAAAT